CCACTGACTTGCCAGAGAAGACAAATCATTAGGAGTGTCAGGCAGATTGGACAGTTTGTTGGATATGTCAATGCCTCCATAAAACTTGCCATAATTAAACTACAAGTATGTGGAGCTAAAAATAAATGTATTGTATTGGCTGTAAAACTTTTGATATCAGTTTCAAACTTTCCCTGTAACTGAAAATATTAATATTTGCAATTCTTTATAGCATTGAATGGCTGTTCCCTGGAAAAAGTACAAAAATTCTAAACTTTATTCTTATGTGTCTTTTCATTCATTAAGCCAGTTTGTGTATCCAGTTTGTTTGTTTGTTTGTTTGAAAGAAAGAGCTATACACAGAGAGAGGAAGAGACAGAGAAAAAGGTCCTGCATCTGCTGGTTCATTCACCAAATGGCTGCAATGGCTAGAGCTGAGCTGATCTGAAGCCAGGAGCCAGGAGCCAGGAGCCAGGAGCTTCTTCTGGGTCTCCCACATGGGTGCAGGGGTCTAAGTACTTGCACCATCTTCTACTATTTTCCCAGGCTATAAGCAGAGAGCTGGATCAGGACATGAACCAAGCCACATGGGATACTGGCTCCTCAGGCAGAGGCTCCACCTCGTACACCACAGCACTGACCCCTCCTGTTTTAAATTCTACAGACACCACACAAAACCATATCTCTTCATATATAGTATCACTAGTTTCTCCCTGGAAACACAGAAGGATTACAGCATCTACATATCTGTATCTTTGGACACCAGAATGTTTTGCTTTCTTCCTTATTCTTTTCTAAATACCTGTAAAAAGATAGAGATAAAGATCTATCAAATTTATACTTAAAAAATAGTAGATCCTATTGGCTACAAGAGGCATATAGAAATAATCAAATAATAATCTATCAGTATTTATTGTCATCCCACATCCCAAATATAACTATACATGCCATTTCACCTGTAAATAAAAAGACATAGAGAAGAATAACTATGTGTGTCCTGAGCAGGAGGGGAAGAAAAATCTCATGAGAGCTTTTCTTTTATGCCAACTAGGTGAATTCTAAATGTTATGAACTCACTGTAAACTTTGAATTATTATCTGAACCAGAGCCCTGACACTAAGCATTGGCTCCCCAGGATTTCATCTCCCACCTTCCTTAAGATTTTATTTGATGTCTTTATACCCAGGACTTAGAGAGGAAACCAGAACGCAAACCCACTGAATACTCTGTCAAAATCCTGAACTGAAGTAATCCTAACCCAAATTTTTGCCTAAAACCAACAAAGAGAAGGTTCGAATCACTTTTTCAAACATGTTAAAATGTGAATCCTCATTTTCAAATATTATTTTTCTATAAATACTGCTGTTTGGGGAATCACCCATTTATTTTATTTATTTATATCTCAAAGGCAGAGAGACAGAAACAGATGGATCTTCCATATGCTGCTTCACTTCCAAAAAGACCTGCAACAGGCAGTGGCTGGCACAAACCAAAGCCAGGAGTAAGGAACTCCATCTAAATCTGCCATTTGGGTGTCAGGAACCCAAGTACTTGAGCCATCACCTGCTGCCTCCTAAGATGCACATAGGCAGGAAGATGGATTGGAAGTGGAGTAGATTGGACTTGAATCAGGCACTCCGAAATGGGATGCAGGTGTCACAAGTAGCATCTTATCTGATACTGAAACAGTTATCCCAAGAATCACTTTCATGGGCTGGCATTTTGGTGCAGCTTGTTAAGCAGCCATATCAGAGGGCTAGTTCAACTCCCTGGTTCTAGGCTTCTGATCCAGCAACCTGCAAATGAGAAGACAACAAATTATAGCTCAAGTACCTGGTCCTCTACTGCCAGTATGGAGACCTGGATGGAATGTCTGGTTCCTGGCTTTGGCTTGGCCTATTCTCTAGCTGTTGTAGCCATTTGGAGAGTGAAACAGTAGATGGAAGATTCTCTCTCTCTCTCTCTCTCTTTCTCTCTTTCTCTCTTTCTCTCTTTCTCTCTCTTTCTCTCTTTCTCTCTCTCTTACTTTCTCTCTGTTTCTCTGTCTCTCTGCCTTTCAAATAAATAAATCTTTTTAGAAATAGTTTATATTAAATCTAAAAATTTGGTTTTGCTCCATTGATCTCCCATACCCATGGCATCAACTGGCAAATTTCTCAGAACAACTGTGACACAAGATGTCTGATGCTGGGAAGTAGAGCCAACAATGAGTTCTTAAGTCCAGTTAAGCTATGCAGAAAATCAGCACAGTTACCCACCCATAGCTGTGTCCTTGGAGTATGGGAGGGATTCTGAGAACTAAAACTTTGTTTTGTGTTGTAGCAGAAGATGGACTCAAATGAATGCAACAGCTGCTAAGTCACAAAATTAAAACTAAACATAAGTAAATGAAAACCAACCCAATAAAGTCTATTCCTAGATAATCTGAACCTGAGAAAAACCCCACCCACCCTGCACTGTGGGGATCCAGAAGTAGTGTTTATACTTTTCAACGGAGAAGAAGCCAGCATGTTCAGAGGGCATGTACCTGGCACTTCGAGTGGAGGAACCTGAGCCTGTGAATGGATAAGAACCCATGATGTGGTGAGAAATCAGATAAGGAGGAAGGGGTGAGGAGAGAATCAATCACTGGAAAGCAATGCTGCAGGAAGATGAAATATCATTGATATCTGGATTCAGAGGCTTTACAAATCCTGTAGAGAATAAAAACAAAGTTTGCAGTGAAATGCTGCAGGGTTAGAACATGAGGAATGGAATCCAATAAAAAGTGTGGAAACTAAGAGAAACTTGAAGGAGAGACAGGTGCTTTCGCATAGCTATGCAGGTTGGAGCAGTGATGGTAGAGCTCCAGTAATAAGAGTCCCAGCTAGGGTGGATGGTGTTCATGGAAAGCAGACTCCAGGCACAAAGGTATTAGGAATGAGTAGCGATCTTTTGGCCCAAGCAGTTGAGGACTGTGGACTTCAGATTTTCAAGACATGGACTTGGCCATCATTCTGGGATAACCTTCAGCAGAGCACTGAGAACTGGTGAATTAGCCACTTTACCACCAGCCCTCGCTGGAGCTAGATGCTCCCTTCATTGTTAATCCATCATTGCCCTTGTCCTTGGTAAAAAGTTTGGGGGTACACTAGTATCTGAGTGAGTCAGAGCTTTGCAGCTGGCAGGCAAGGCCAAATGTTCTCTTTGCCCACAGTTGTCATATGTTGCTCATGGAAGTATTAATTCCCACAGCTACTTTGGAAAAACAGTAGGCCAGTGTCTTATGAGACTAATTACTCCCCAAAAAGCTAACCACAAAATTAGCCTACCACTCCGCATTTTCACTCTTCAACAGGTAGCCCTGTTAAAAAATGAAAACTTGGGCTTAAATGGAGAAACTTGAACAGGAATGTTTAGAGTACCTATAATCATTATAATCTCAAACTGGAAATTAACAAAATATCAATCTGTGAGTGAATAGCTAAAGAAACTGTGATATGTGCATGCCATGGATTACAACTCAGGAACAAAAGGTACAAGCTATTGATACAAACTGGATGAACATCCAAGAAGTTACATAGTTGGGGGTGGAGTGGGTGAGGCAATCTAAAGAAATACATGCAATATATCATTTATTTAATAATCATGAGTATAATGTATAGAAATGGAAAACAAGAGTAGTAGTTGCCAGAGATTAGGGTTGGAAGAGAAGGTGTGGATGTAGTTGTAAAGGGGTAATAGGAGGAATCTTGTGGGGATGAGAAAGTATCTGGATTGTTGTTGTGGCTACAGAAAGCTATACTTTTGATAAAATTATATGAAGATGGGGCCAGCTCTGTGGCATAGTGGGTAAGGCTACCACCTGAAATGCTGGCATCCCATATGGGCTCCAGTTTGAGTCCCAGCTGCTCCACTTCTAATCCAGATCTTTGCTATGGCCTGGGAAAGCAGTAGAAGATGGCCCAAGTGCTTGGGCCCCTGTACCCGCATGGGAGACCTGGAAGAAGCTCCTGGTTCGTGGTTTTGGATTGGCACAGCTCTGGCCATCATAGCCATCTGGAAAGTGAACCAGCAGATGGATGTCCTCTTTCTCTCTGCCTCTGCCTCTTTATAACTGCCTTTCAAATAAACGAATAAATAAATAAATACATGTACATGTTTTTGCAACTTCCTGTGAATCTGTAACTATTTCAAAATAGAAAACAAAACAAAACCAATAGGGTAATAAGCAATATTGGACGAAGCATAAAAGAAGAGACAGAATCTTTTTGGAGAATAACTCGGCATAAGTTTTATTCAAATCTTTTATTTATTTGTTGGGAATCTCTAAGGATAAACAAGAAAAAGGCTATGTGCAAGTTTTTCATGGTGCTACTTTTTGGTAACAAATAAATGGATATAATGTAATTTTCCAGGACATTTGAAAAAAAATGAATGATATCCAGAAGCACACTTATCCAGTGAAAACCAGCAGTCATTAAATGTAATGATAAACACACACACACACACACACACACACACACATATACACACACAAAGTAGTAGAAGATAAAATGCATACTAGTAAGGAGAGGTGTGGATGTTTATTGTAAGAGCTAAAATGCCCACATTCCATATCTGTGTGTCTGGATTTGAGACCTAGCTCCAAATCCAGTTCCAGTTTCTTGCTAATGGGTACCATGGGAAGAAGCAGATGATGGCTCAAATAGTTGGGTCTCTGCCAACAACATAAGCCACCTAAATTGAGTCTCTCACTCCTGGTTTCATTCTGCCATTGTGGTACTTTGAGTACTCAACCAGCAACTGGGAGAACTCTTTCTGTCTCTCTGCTTTTCAGAATAAATGAATAAATCATTAAATAATTAAATGTACAGATGAATTAATAAAGTGGCATAAAACCAGGGCACCAGATAGAATGTATTAGCTTTATGAAAAACAGAAGGAAAGGAAATATGTAATAATTATGTATATATTATATAAAAATTTTCATATGAAAATCTGAAACTTTTCTGTATATTGTTTTCTAAATATAATTTCAGTTTTGTAAAGAAGAGTAGCTAATGATAAAATATCCATTGAAGATACTGGAAAATAATTGTGGGTCATCTGTGAAACAAGCCTGATGGATAAAAGAGACCAAACTGGTAAGTACATATTTTACAAAGTCTACCTAAAAGGTATCCTGTATAAGGATACCTTATACAGGCAATATCTCTACCTTACACCTTATACAAAACTCAACTCAATATTGAACAAGATACTAAATCTACAATATGATACCCTCAAATTATTAGAGGAAAATATCATAGAAACTCTGTGACACATTGGCATAGGCAGAGGCAATCAAAGCCGCAATAGATAAAATGGGATTACATCAAGCTATGAAGCTTTATATACAAGAAACAACTAGTGGTCTTGGGATTGAACTCCAGCCAGCAGTATGGTTGAAGAAATAAGAGAGAACTCCCGGTCCTCACACATTGTCTCTTTTTTTTTTAAGTTTGACAGTCTTTTAGATTTTTATAATCACTTTTGTATTCATTCTAGAGAACTAAGGGAATGCAGTACAGTAGATGTGGGAATTTCAGACTCTCAGATTTGTTAATTTGTTGTTTGGATTTGTTAATTTCCTTTAAACAATTTTTATTTGTAAAAAGGGAATAAATTTCACGTATTTCAAATATACACTTTTAAGAGTATAATACTTACCACTTCACCATCCCTCCCACCAGGCATTCTTCTTTTCTTCTTTTTCTTTTAATTTTTACGATGATGTAGTTTCTATTTTCATTATATTCACAAGCTTAACCCTCCACTAAATACATAATTCAACATGAATTTTATTGAATTTATTGAATTTTATATGAATTTATTGAATCCAATGATGCATCAGAAAGATCATTCACCCAGACCAAGTAGGATTTATCCCTTTTATGCAGTGAAGGTTCAACATATGCAAATCATAAATGTGATACAACACATTAGCAAACTGAAGAATAAATACTATTTGATTATCTAAATTTATGCAGAGAAAACATTTGATAAAATACAATATCCTTTCATGATAAAAAAAAAACCTTAAACAAAATGTGTGTAGAAGGAACATACCTAAACACAAGCAAAACAGTATACAACAAAACTGCAGCCAGCATAATTGAACAGAGAAAAGTTGGAAGCATTTCCACTAAAATCTGGAACCAAACAGGTATGCCCATTATCACCATTACTATTCAATATAGTGGAAGTTTTAGAGTCTTACATAACAAAAAGAAATCAAAGTGATACAAATGGGGAAGAAGAAAGTAAAATCATCCCTGTTTGCTTATGATATGATCATATACGTAGAAGAACCAAAAGATTCCACTAAGAGATTACTGGAACTTCTAAGAGAGTTTGGCAAAATTGCAGGATAAAAAATCAACACTCAAAAATCAGTAGCCTTTGTATACAGCATAACATAATAATAGCATGGCTGAGAAAGAATGTGCATGTTGTCTTTGAAAGGGAAACCTCTCCAAGATGGCTGCATGGGATATAGCCGATGCTACAATAAAGATGTACACTGCAGTTTTCATTCGGTAACTTGTCTGAATCCCATTTTGGCTATTTTGAAAGACTGAACATTTATTGATGATGAATGACTTGAACTGCTAAAATATTTTAAATCCTCTGTGGAATCCAGTGTAAAATTTACAATTACATCTCTGTGTTATCCCCAAGCATGACTTTTTAAAATCAGTTGATAGCTTTCACTTAACAAAGAAACAGAAGAACAAAAGAGCAGATGCCAGTCACCTCAACAAAGACCAGCCAAGAGCACATGCTGTGCCAGATGTGGGAATACAACAATGAAGAACATAGTCACTGCCTTCATGGATCCAGTACTCCAGCAAAGAAATTATAGACAAGAATCAAACTCTGACCAGACTCCTCTGAATAAATTCTGGCCAAGAACTAGCAATGAGAATTACTTGACTTCATGACTGGCATGATTATTTACATAAAGAATTAGAGACATAATCATATGCATTCTGTTCTTGGAGGAGAGAACACATTTCTCATTGCAAGTCAAATTCTTTGTGTCTTCTGGAAAAACCACAGAACCACAAAAGGAAATGAATATAAGTTATAGTACCAATTTGTTTGACAAAATATTTTGTACTGCTTCCCTTTCCCCAAAGATAGCATAGTAAAATCTCTAAGCCATATGATTCAATGAAACTCTTCAGACAGCCTAAAAATAATTATGTTGTCTAACATTACCCAAATCTGTCTCTGTGTCCTATTCAATAAATAAATAATTTCTAGAAAGAATTTAGAAAATAGGCCAAAGGAAAAGAAAAACAAAATATTGCAAAACTTACAGAATGTAGCAAACCAGCACTCAGATGGCAGTTTATCTTTTTTTATTTATTTTTTATTTTTGACAGGCAGAGTTAGACAATGAGAGAGAAACAGAGAAAGGTCTTCCTTTTTCCGTTGGTTCACCCTGCAAGTGGCCGCTATGGCTGGCGTGTTGCAGCCGGCGCGCTGCGCTGATCTGAAGCCAGGAGCCAGGTGCTTCTCCTGGTCTCCCATGTGGGTGCAGGGCCCAAGGACCTGGGCTATCCTCCACTGCCCTCCCGGGCCACAGCAGAGAGCTGGACTGGAAGAGGAGCAACCAGGACAGAATCCGGCGCCCCGACGGGGACTAGAACCTGGGGTGCTGGCGCCGCAGGCGGAGGATTAGCCTATTGAGCCATGGTGCCCGCTTTCAGATGGCAGTTTATGCCAATAAACGTCTACGTTTAAAAAGAATATATTTTATTTTACAACTCAGGCACTATAAAAATAGGAAAAATATAAATGCAAAGGTGATGGAAGGAGGTAAAGTGATTAAAATCTTAAGAAATGGAGAGATGTTTGAAAATAGAAAATATCAATGAAAATAAAAGTTGGTTTTTGGAAATACAAACAAAATTCGGCCAGCATTGTGGCATACTGAGTAAAGCCACCTCCTGCAGTGCTGGCATCCCATATGGATGTCAATGCAAGTCCTGGCTGCTCCACTTCTGATCCAGCTCCCTGCTAATGCGCCTGGGAATGCAGCTGAATATGGTCCAAAGTCCTTGGGTCTGTGCACCTACATGGGAGACCTGGAAGAAGCTTTTGGCTCCCGGCTTTGTATTGGCCCAGCTCTGGCCACTGTAGCCATTTGGGGAGTGAGCCAATGGATGGAAGAGATCTCTCTCTCTCTCTCACTCTGCTTCTTCCTCTGCCACTGCCATTACAGGGGAAAGTGTTATAGGGGAGCAGCATGAGCAAAAGTACATAAAGTGAAGTGATTCTATTGTTTATAGGGAACATATAGAAAGAGGATACAGAAATTAGATGTATTTATATTGAAGAGTATTTTCATATTGAATAGTTTGGTTGAAGTGGTGAGGCCAGAATGGAGAGGAATCTTAGCCAGTTTACATGTTCTATAGAACTGAGTGAATGGTGTTGCTGGGCAGCTAAATCTACAACTTAATCAAATACAGGAGGGGTTTGACATTTCCCTTTGTCCTCTGAGGTCTCATATATAAGTTTTTGTTCAGAGAGTGGGTGTTACAAGAGGTCTATGACTGTAACCTAGAAAGATCATGGGAAATATCAATTCATCTGGTGGTTAAGTCATTCAAGAGTTTACCTCTGAAGGAGAGAAGTAGGGTAGACATTTGCCTCGATGGCTAAGTTGACACTTAGGCTTCCTATATCTCATAAGGGTGTGCCGGGATCATGTTCTGGCTCTACTTTCTTTTATTTATTTATTTGACAGGTGGAGTTATAGACAGTGAGAGAGAGAGAGAGAGAGAGAGAGAGAAAGGTCTTCCTTCTGCTGGTTCATTCTCCAAATGGCCACTACTGCTGGTGCTGTGCCAATCCGAAGCCAGGAGCCAGATGCTTCTTCCTGGTCTCTCATGCAGGTGCGGGAGCCCAAGCATTTGGGCCATCCTCCACTGCCCTCCTGAGCCATAGCAGAGAGCTGGACTGGAAGAGGAGTAGTCAGGACTAGAACCCAGCACCCATATGGGATGCCTGCGTCGCAGGCAGAAGATTAACCAAGTGAGCCACGGCACTGGCCGCTGGCTCCACTTTCAACTCGAGCTTCCTGCTGTTGCACTCTCTGGAAAGCACCAGGTGATGGCTCAAATGGTTTGGTCTTGGCCATGCACTTGGGAGACCTGGGTTGAGTTCCTCATTCCTGGCTTAGCCCTGGCTGTTTCATTTGGGGAATTAATCAGCAGCAATATCTCTTCTCTTCTCTCTTTCTCTTTCTCTCTCTATGTATGTGTGTGTCTCCATCCTTCCCCCCTCCCTCCTTTCCTTCCTCCTTCCTTCTCTCTTTCCTTTTCGAATATATAAAAGTAAATTTTAAAAGAAGGAAAGAACCACGAATATTTATGCGTACATCAGTACACACACACACACACACGCACATGCCACAATTCTTTACCTGGTATTCATGCCCTTTATTACTTCCTGTTCTACTCTACTCATTTGGTTCACAGCTTCTAAATAGTTTTTACTGTTTTCTTACCAATAATTTTAAAAACACTGAATTGGACTCTAAATGAGAGGAAGTAGCTGATAATTAGGTTAAAGAGTTTCACTAATATGAAACTGTGGGAAAAGGAAATAAAAATTTATAGAAAATGATGTATGATAGTCTACTTTAAAGTATGATTATATTGGGGCTAGCACTGTAGCATAACAGGTAAAGCTTCTGGCTGCAATGCCGGCATCCCATATGGTTGCTGGTTCAAGTCCTGGCTGCTCCATTTCTGATACAGCTCTCTGCTATGGCCTGGGAAAGCAGTAGAAGACAGCCCAAGCCCTTGGGCCTCTGCACTCACATAGGAGACCCAGAAGAAGCTCCTGTCTCCTGACTTCGGATCGGAGCAGCTCCAGCTGTTGTGACCATTTGGGGAGTGAACCAGTGGATGGAAGACTCTCTCTCTCTCTCTCTTCCCCTCTCTCTCTCTCTCTCTCTCTCTGACTCTCTGTAACTCTTTCAAACAAATAAATAAATCTTTTTTTAAAAAAAAAGTATAATTTGGCCGGCGCCACGGCTCAATAGGCTAATCCTCCGCCTTGCGGCGCGGGCACACTGGGTTCTAGTCCCGGACGGGGCGCCGGATTCTGTCCCGGCTGCCCCTCTTCCAGGCCAGCTCTCTACTATGGCCCGGGAGTGCAGTGGAGGATGGCCCAAGTGCTTGGGCCCTGCACCTGCATGGGAGACCAGGAGAAGCACCTGGCTCCTGCCTTTGGATCAGCACAATGCGCCAGCTGTGGTGCGGCGGCCATTGGAGAGTGAACAAATGGCAAAAAGGAAGACCTTTCTCTCTGTCTCTCTCTCTCACTATCCACTCTGCCTGTCAAAAAATAAAAAATAAATAAAAAATAAAAAAGTATAGTTATAGAATTATACTAAATTAGAATGGAAATGTTAGATTCTCTTGGAATATGTCATCTTTGGACTCATTGAATAAGTTTTAAAGGTAATTAAAAAAACCATATGGGTTTTCCATATACTTGCTAAGCACAATAAAAAACTGGATAAAGTTAGCAGAGAAGGAAACAGTAAATCAGAACCATTTGCTTACAGTTTTTATAGGATTGATTTGGAAGATTGTTGTAAAACTAAGGAAGAATGGTGGATAATGGTATAATTATGTTGACCATCAGTTTACTTATTTGGATGTAGCTTTCTTAATCAAAGTAAATAAAAATGAAAGACCTAGTTAGTGTGTATGGTACCCAGGAATTCTGAGAATGGGGAACTTCCACTCTGCTGCTTTCACATTGTGTGGATAAAAGTTTTTGTAAAATTACATAGGATTATGGGGCTCTCCATAAAGAAGTACAAACAGAGAAGAGATTGTTATTGCATTCCATGAACTGAAGAGTCCATGTTATAGGAGACTGATTTGGGGGAGAAGAGGTCAACTTGTAATCAAAGTACAAGAAAAATCAAAGAGAAATGAGTCCAGGTGCTAAATCTGGCATCACTCATTTTTGCACTGCCTCCTATGAGGAGTCATACTGATCAATGTGTTTTAGATCCCTCATTGCAGATTTCACTTTCCTCCACCTTTTTTCTCTTTCCTCAGATACACTGGTCATTGTTAACCTCATTACTTTAGTGATGTGATGAAGACTGTGAGTATTGTCAGTAGACAAACAAAACTTGACGTTTTACATGTAAAATATTAAATGCAATTTTGCACAGAACTAAAGTGTATCTTTGCCCCAACACTGTTCCTAAATTTATACTCCACATCATTAATTTATTGAAGCCTATATCCATCACCTATGTTTACAAGTGTGTAATATAGTGTCTGCAAATTATGTGTTTTATTAATCCTTGATTCAAGAACAAAGCAACAAATCAACAAAGGTAGCCAGGTGCTGTGTTGGATCAGATTTCTTACTTTCAAAAATATGTGAAGGTAATTTGTGATAGTAATGAAATATTTTTGTATATTTGTGTCTATAAGAGCTCTGTAAATGTATTGTTATTTCTGAGATAAATACATTTGAAGGTCACCATCTGAAGCTGGGTACTTTGTAATCTTTAAAGCCAGATATTTTTATTCCATTGCCCTAGTACAATGATATTACCACCTCCAAGGCATTCCTCATATCTCTTGTAGTTCACTGATTTCATTTTCCTTTACAAAGGCACTTTGCTTTGTTTTTAGTATGACCTTGTCTGCCATTGTTATTTTCCCAGATAGTTCATTTCCATTGTATGTTGTCAGATGTTTTGGAAAATGTTATTTTTCCTGTGAGTATAGTCAAATAAAATATCATTGAGTAACATTTCTCAACCCAAGGTACTCTGCCTTCTATTCCATGATTGCCTATTTTTTTAGTGAATGACAGTATCCCTTAGAATAAATACTAATATTCTTGAAGGATAATTGATCATTTGCCATTTTATAGTTTTAAAGAGTTAAATACAGGATGAGAAATTACTTGTTGCATAGAAGTATATATCAAATATCATGGGGGAAATTATATAAATATATATATAATATATTTCATATATATAGTATTTTTTACCTATCTCTCCTGGGTGAGGTGACAAGTTTATCATTGAAAAGAAGTATCTATAGTTATTCCAAGTCAATATATATAAATAAAAACTCCCTCATCAAAATAGGATATGTTTACCTTTCCCTTAAGCCTCTTGAAAATTTTTATTGCAGAAATACCCACACAAACAAAGGGTCTTCAAAATGATCATGGCAAATATACATCATGAAAAAACTATCCATAAATTTCAAATTTTTGCCCCAAAGTAAATTTATTTATTTATTTATTATTTGACAGGTAGAGTTAGACAGTGAGAGAAAGAGACAGAGAGAAAGGTCTTCCTTCCATTGGTTCCCTCCCCAAATGGCCGCCACGGCCGGAGCTATACCAATCCGAAGCCAGGAGCCAGATGCCTCCTCCTGGTCTCCCATTCGGGTGCAGGGGCCCAAGGGCCCAGGCCATCCTCCACCGCCTTCCCAGGCCACAGCAGAGAGCTGAACTGGAAGAGGAGCAACTGAGACTAGAACCCGGTGCCCCTATGGGATGCTGGTGCCGCAGGCATAGGACTAACCAAGTGAGCCACGGTGCTGGACCCCAAAGGAAATTTTTTTTTAATTCCATCTTTCCATAAACTTTTTGAAGTTCAATCATCTTTGTGTGCTTGGAAAACAGTGTAATGAATCCAGATATCCTTCACCTAGGTTCAATATTTCTCAACCTGTGGCCAACTGTTATTATTTTTTATAACCACATTCTGTGTGTCTCCAATGTTTAAGAGCAAATCCAGTGCAGTATATTGATTCAGAATTGAATGAAAACACAATCTATTTTAACCCACACCATGTTTTTTCTTCTCTACACTCATTCATAATGCTACCCCGACTCTGTCCTGATTTTTATTTGTTCTTTCAGTTATGCTGCTGTGATGGATTGGCTCTGCCAGAAGACACACCATTAAAAGTCAGGCTGCAGACAACCTAGTCAGAAGGAGGAAACAGACCTCCAGTGCCTCCTGCCCTCCCCTCCTTTGCTCTCAGGCACAGCTCCACATGGCTGTGGCTGAAGTCCTGGTGCATGTGAGAATCACTCTCCTGACACTCTGGCTGGGAGTGTTTCCCTTCATTTCTGGATGGCCCCAGAAGGGGCACTCTCAATATCACAGCCACCCAGAAGTGGTAATACCCTTGAGGATAACTGGCACTGGGAAAGGTATGAAGACTCCAGGCTGGCTCTCCTATAGCCTGCACTTTGGGGGCCAGAGACACATTATCCACATGAAGGTGAAAAGGTTTTTAGTGTCCAGACACTTCCCTGTGTTCACCTACACAGACCAGGGAGCCCTCCAGGAGGATCAGCCTTATGTCCAGAGTGACTGCTACTATCACGGCTATGTGGAAGGAGAGCCAGAGTCCATTGTTGCTCTTAGCTCCTGTTTCGGGGGCTTTCAAGGAATGCTACAGATAAGTGACATTGTATATGAAATGAAGCCCAAAAGATTTTCTGCCACACATGAGCATCTGATTTATAGACTACATTACAATGAGACAGAATTGCCATCCATGAAATGTGGGTTAACAGAAGAACAGATAGCACAGCAACTGGTGTTTCACGAGACTAATAATGTCCCTCTCAAGCAAAGTAACTATGAGGGCTGGTGGACCTACAAACGGGCTGTAGAATTTTTTGTGGCTGTAGACCATCAACGATTCATTTACCAGAACAGGAATGCCTCAGTTGTGTTACAAGAAGTATTCATTATTGTGAATGAAATTGATGGCCTTTATGCTGCAATAGAGGTTGATTTCATTTTATGTGCACTGGCAATTTGGACTGAAAGAAACCCCATAAGATCAGAAAACCCAGAAAGATTGGTGGACTTATTTTGCGAATGGAAGTCAATATCTGTTAATCGACGAATAACAAACGATGTTGGACATCTTTTTATAAGGCAGTCATTTGGTAGTAAGTTTGGCGCAGCAACTCTTTTTGGAATGTGCTATTCCAATTTAAACTGTGGGGTTGACAGTTTTATGTTAGATGAGCAGTATTTTAGATTTGCACATTCCGTGTCACATGAGATTGGTCATAATTTTGGTATGAGACATGATGGTGCAGACTGTACATGTGGGAAGAGCCACTGTCTGATGTCTGAAGGAGAAAGTTTTGCAAGGTCATTTAGCAACTGCAGTTATGCTGCTTTTCAGGCAGTGCTATATGGATCGACCTGTCTGTACAATGCACCAAGTCTCCTGAAAGACATCTGTGGGAATGGCATACCTGAAACAGGAGAGCAGTGTGACTGTGGAACCTTTCAAATGTGTACAAATGATCCCTGTTGTCAGACAAACTGTACTCTGACACCTGGGGCTGTTTGTGGTTTTGGGCTTTGTTGCAAGGATTGCCAGTTCAGGGCATCAGGTGAATTGTGTAGAGAAAAAGAAAACGAATGTGATCTTCCAGAGTGGTGCAATGGAGAACAGCATGAGTGTCCAGAAGATGTGTTTATGCAGCATGGCTACAACTGCTCAGTGACTGGGGTCTGCTTCAACAAGACATGTCATGTCCGTAATGAACAGTGTAGGCAAGTTTTTGGCATGGAAGCTAAGGATGCAGATGAGGCATGCTACAGAGCAGTGAATACGTTGGGTGACCGTTTTGGTAACTGTGGTAATGACAGCAAAAAATATACAGCATGTAATAGTTCAGATATTCTGTGTGGAAGAATTCAGTGTGAGAATGTGAAAGACGTACCCGACTTGGCAGACCACACTACCGTGGTTTTGAGCCATGTCGGTAACCATGACTGCTGGGGCACTGAATTCCATTTTGGGATGACTGGTTCTGACATTGGTGTTGTGAAAGATGGCACAGAGTGTGGTGACAAAAGCATCTGTATGCACAGGAGGTGTGTCCCTGTCGGTAAACAACGTTGTTCAGCAAAAGGGCAGTGCAATGATAAGGGGGTGTGTAACAACAAGCAACACTGCCACTGTGACTCTAAGTGGGCCCCACCCTACTGCGAAGAAAAAGGCAATGGAGGTAGTTCTGATAGTGGCCCTCCCCCTCCAAGAGTAAAGGAAGAATCACCTACAAGAGGGAACAATCTGACACTACTGTTTTTGATTCCTCTTTTGCTTTTGCTTCTTTTGCTTGGTTTGATAATTTTTCTTTCCACTAAGAGAAAAGCTTCTGAGAGAGAAGAGAAGAAGAATGAGGCACCATCTCAGAAAGCACAAGATGCTGAGGCTCCGCCTCAGGAAACGGATACTAAGGCTACCTAAATAAAACTAGAATGTACAACATCTACCTAAGGTAGATTAGAAAAATTCACAGTTCCTGAAGATAACGCCAATCCCATTGGGATTTCCCTGATATTAACTTTTGGTGTCCTGGTGGTGAAAATGGCATTGCATGTGTCAGAGAAGACTTAAACCAAGTCTAAGAATCCATTATGTCACATTATGTCACATTCATAAACAAAAGCTAATAAAAAAGGATTAAATCAAAACATATCCCTACTTTCCATTAATTTTAAGAAATGTTGGAGGTTTATTTTTAGTGGGAAGACCCTCTCTGTGTTTCCTACCAAAGGCACTGCCAAGGATGGGGTGCATGGGGGTTCATTTGCTGTCCTTCAATTCCAAACCTCCTGCCTCTTTTCATCATGCTTTGTCACAAACGGAATTGGAAATGATGAATCGTGTATCTTGTTTGCCAATCCCCCAGGTTAGTTTCTGTCTATAGAGGAAGAGTTAGAGGGAAACTAACATACAATATCATCAGACCCAGAGATCCCAGCAGCAACCAAACAGCATGTACTCCGAGTTCTGCGTCACAGGTCTTTGAGCCCCCACCAAATTAGAGAAGATCTATTTCTAAACTCTGGGTTCAAATAAACTGACTTCTTCCCTTTGATTTCCAGTCCTTCCAGTGATCACTACATCTTCATATTAGAACCTAGGGTTATCTCAGTGGTGTGGGTTCTCATTTTATAAATGATCCCTGAGTGATACAGAACTCATCTTGGTACAATGAAGAAGACAGGGAGGAGTCAGACAGCAGAAAGACTAAATTTTTCTCACCACTGCCCTTTACCATCATGGGGAATGACTTGAACTGAATAGTACAACTTCAAAATCTATAAACAGATGATAAGAACACTTTCCAGCCAACTCCTTTGCAACTCAGATTATAAAGCAGAATAAAGAAGATGATCAGCATTCTGTGTAGGATATAATAAGTCTTAGCATACCATGTTTCCTCTGGGGTGGGGGAAGCTAGGAAATACCAATTAAGCTTTAAAATTCATATTTTAAAAGTTTCAGAGAGATTTGGAAGGCATGGAAAACTATTGTAAAAGGGACTGAGTGTGGCCAGCCCTCTTCCTTGGTAGCACTTGCTGATGTTGGCTGTGACTTAAGGGTCAGGCTTGGCCCAGTAAAGAACCTCTGCTGACAAAAAGGGAAATCACCAATCTTCTTAGTTACTGCACAGGACTAGATGCTTAAGCAAACATTTTGGGCCCTCAATTATGATCATGTGTCTCTGAATTCCAGTACAAAGACATAAGCAGCAAATCTTGGTGACAACCACGTGGTGTTAACTTGGCAATTGGCAGGCACAGAGAATATAAAACCTGAGAGGTCATAGCTTCTTCTGCCTAAATTTCAAAGGATGCCCCAGACAGCCTGAGAGCCTCTAGAGACACTTGTCATAGAGAGCAGAACCACTGAAGAGCCACAGGTGCGCGGCTGCCTTTGAGACACTAAAACTCATCCAGTGTGTAGCAGCAACATGGAAGGGCTTCAGGCAAGAAACTGCAACCCAGGAGAGCTGAAGTGTAGGCTGAGCCGAGGAAAGCCAGTGGGGAGAGGGGCTTCAATAAAGACTTGGAGGCCCAGCCCTCAAGGAATTAATATGGACTGGGGCCCTGGTATATGCAAAAAACATACATGGAGTCAAAGGAGATTATTCTCCAGCATTTTGGACTTGCTTGGGATCAGTTACCCCTTACTTCCTGACAATTTCTACCTTTTGATACAGAAATATCTATCCTATGACTGTCTCATTTGGTCAGGAAATAACTAGTTTTAATCTCACAGGTCCACAGTGAATTTGCTCCAGAAGATCATCCCTTGACTCATACCTGATTCAGTTGTGACTCTGGACACTAGACTTTTTTTTTTTTAACTTTTATTTAATGAATATAAATTTCCAAAGTACAGCTTATGGATTACAATGGCTTCCCCCCCATACCGTCCCTCCCACCCACAACCCTCCCCTTTCCCACTCCCTCTCCCCTTCCATTCACATCAAGATTCATTTTCGATTATCTTAATATACAGATGATCAGCTTAGTATACATTAAGGATTTCAACAGTTTGCTCCCACACAGAAACATAAAGTGAAAAATAAGATGATTTTTTTTTAAATGATGATGAAATCAGATCAGACCTATTGTCCTGTTTAATCCCAGTGAGAGTCAAGTTGGGAGTTGATAATTTCTTTTTTTTTTTACAGAAGATCAGTTTAATATGCATTAAGTAAAGATTTCAACAGTTTGCACCCCCATAGAAACACAAAGTAAAATATATTGTTTGAGTACTCGTTATAGCATTAAATCTCAATGCACAGCACATTAAGGACAGAGATCCTACATGAGGAGTAAGTGCACAGTGACTCCTGTTGTTGACTTTACCAATTGACACTCCTGTCTATGGCATCAGTAATCTCCCTATGCTCCAGTCATGAGTTTCCAAGGCTATGGAAGCCCTCTGAGTTCTCCGACTCTTATCTTGTTTAGACAAGGTCATAGTCAAAGTGGAGGTTCTCTCCTCCCTTCAGAGAAAGATACCTCCTTCTTTGAAGACCTGTTCTTTCCACTGGGATCTCACTCACAGAGATCTTTTGCCAGAGTGTCTTGGCTTTCCATGCCTGAAATACTCTCATGGGCTTTTCAGCCAGATCCGAATGCCTTTAGGGCTGATTCTGAGGCCAGAGTGCTATTTAGGACATCTGCCATTCTATGAGTCTGCTGAGTATCTCACTTCCCATGTTGGATCACTCTCCCCTTTATTTATTCTATCGGTTAGTGTTAGCAGGTACTAGACTTGTTTATGTGCTCCCTTTGACTCTTAGTCCTTTCATTATGATCAATTGTGAACTGAAATTGATCACTTGGAATAGTGAGATGGCATTGGTACATGCCACCTTGATGGGATTGAATTGGAGTCCCCTGGTATGTTTCTAACTCTACCATTTGGGGCAAGTCAGCTTGAGCATGTCCCAAATTATATCTCTCTTCCCTCTCTTATTCCCACTCTTATGTTTAACAGGGATCACATTTCAGTTAATTTTCAACACTTAAGAATAACTGTGTATTAATTACAGAATTAAACCAGTCATATTAAGTAGAACAGACAATAAAACTACTAAGAGGGATAATGTATTAAGTTGTTCATTAACAGTCAGGGCTATGCTGATCAAGTCACCGTTTCCCATAGTGTCCATTTCACTTCAACAGGTTTCCTTTTTGATGTTCAGTCAGTTGTCACCGATCAGGGAGAACATATGGTATTTGTCCCTTTGGGACTGGCTTATTTCACTCAGCATGATGTGTTCCAGATTCCTCCATTTTGTTGCAAATGACTGGATTTCGTTGTTTCTTACTGTGGTATAGTATTCTAAAGAGTACATATCCCATAATTTCTTTATCCAGTCTACCGTTGATGGGCATTTAGGTTGGCTCCTGGTCTTAGCTATTGTGAATTGAGCTGCAATAAACATTAGGCTGCAGACCGCTTTTTTGTTTGCCAATTTAAATTCCTTTGGGTAAATTCCAAGGAGTGGGATGGCTGGGTCGAACGGTAGGGTTATCTTCAGGTTTCTGAGGAATCTCCAGACTGACTTCCATAGTGGCTTGACCACTTTGCATTCCCACCAACAGTGGGTTAGTGTCCCTTTTTCCCCACATCCTCGCCAGCATCTGTTGTTGGTAGATTTCTGAATGTGAGCCATTCTAACCGGGGTGAGGTGAAACCTCATTGTGGTTTTGATTTGCATTTCCCTGATTGCTAGCGACCTTGAGCATTTTTTCATGTTCCTGTTGGCCATTTGGATTTCCTCTTTTGAAAAATGTCTATTGAGGTCCTTGGCCCATCTCTTAAGTGGGTTGTTGGTTTTGTTTTTGTGGAGTTTCTTGATCTCTTTGTAAATTCTGGTTATTAACCCTTTATCTGTTGCATAGTTTGCAAATATTTTTTCCCATTCTGTCGGTTGTCTCTTCACTCTCCTCACTGTTTCTTTTGCAGTACAGAAACTTCTCAATTTGATGCAATCCCAATAGTTGATTTTGGCTTTGACTGCCTGTGCCTCCCGGGTCTTTTCCAGAAATTCTTTGCCTGTGCCAATATCTTGAAGGGTTTCTCCAATGTTCTCTAGTAACTTGATGGTGTCAGGTCGTAGATTTAGGTCTTTAATCCATGTTGAGTGAATTTTTGTGTAAGGTGTAAGGTAGGGGTCTTGCTTCATGCTTCTGCATGTGGAAATCCAGTTTTCCCAGCACCATTTATTGAATAGACTGTCCTTGCTCCAGGAATTGGTTTTAGTTCCTTGATCAAATATAAGTTGGCTGTAGATGTTTGGGTTGATTTCTGGTGTTTCAATTCTGTTCCATTGGTCTATCCATCTGTTTCTGTACCAGTACCATGCTGTTTTGATTACAACTGCCCTGTAGTATGTCCTGAAATCTGGTATTGTGATGCCTCCAGCTTTGTTTTTGTTGTACAAGATTGCTTTAGCTATTCGAGGTCTCTTGTGCCTCCATATAAATTTCAGCACCATTTTTTCCAGATCTGAGAAGAAGGTCTTCGGTATCTTGATTGGTATTGCATTGAATCTATAAATTGCTTTTGGGAGAATGGACATTTTGATGATATTGATTCTTCCAATCCATGAGCATGGAAGATTTTTCCATTTTTTGGTATCCTCTTCTATTTCTTTCTTTAAGGTTTTGTAATTTTCATCATAGAGATCTTGAACGTCCTTGGTTAAGTTTATTCCAAGGTATCTGATTGTTTTTTGTAGCTATTGTGAATGGGATTGATCTTAGAAGTTCCTCCTCAGCCATGGCATTGTCTGTGTATACAAAGGCTGTTGATTTTTGTGCATTGATTTTATACCCTGCTACTTTGCCAAACTCTTCTATGAGTTCCAATAGTCTCTTAGTAGAGTTCTTTGGGTCCCCTAAATAAAGAATCATGTCATCTGCAAAGAGGGATAGTTTGAGTTCTTCCTTCCCAATTTGTATCCCTTTAATTTCTTTTTCTTGCCTAATAGCTCTGGCTAGAACCTCCAGAACTATATTGAATAGCAGTGGTGACAGTGGACATCCCTGTCTGGTACCAGATCTCAGTGGAAATGCTTCCAACTTTTCCCCATTCAATAGGATGTTGGCTGTGGGTTTTTCATAGATTGCTTTGATTGTATTGAGGAATGTTCCTTCCAAAC